GCAGTAGGGGGCAGAGACAGGGGATTCGCAGGGGCTTGCTGGTCAAAAGTCTAGCTCCAAACGTAGTTCGAGAGACCTTATCTCAAGGCAATATGGTAGGATATCTGATGTCCTTCTCATGGGCATGTGCAATTGCACACATGTGAGCACAGGCAACAAACACATCTATGGAAAATTTAACACCACGATGAACTTGGTGTCCTGGTAGCTGTGGATTGGGTCCTCAAAGGTTCAGGTGTTGAAGACTTGGCACCCAACAATGTGATGGCAAGCGTGGGAGGCGATGGGAATTCCGGGAGGCGGGGTCTGGTTGGAGATTAGAGAGGGATCCATCACTGTAGGACCTGGAAGGACCTACGGCGTTCCCACCCCTTCCTCTTCCTCTCTGCCTTCCATGAGGCGAACAGCCTTACTACTTCCAAGCATGGCTTCCACCTTGTCCGAGAAGAAAAGCAGTCAGGAGACTGTGTGGAAACCAGAGCTCCAATAAACCTTTCCTCTTCCGGTTTGCTGCCTTGGGTATTTTGTCAGAGTAACAAAGAGCTAACACAGCAGGTTTAGTTTTTTTCTTTTGTAGTTTTTTGAGACAGGGTTTCTCTGTGTAGCTCTGGCTGTCCTGGAACTCACTCTGTAGACCAGGCTGGCCTTGAACTCATAGAGAACTCACCTGCCTCTAGCTCCTGAGTGCTGGGATCAAAGGCGTGCACCACCAACGCCCAGCAGCAGATTTAGTTTTTACAAATCGTGAATTATTTGTGTGTGTGCGTGTGTGTGTGTGTGTGTGTGTGTGTGTGTGTGTGTGTGATTTTGTATGTGTCTGTGAAGAGGTTGGAGGACAACTTGCAGGAGCCAGTTCTCTCCTTCTACCCTGTGGTCCCAGGGATCAAACTCAGGCTACTAGGCTTGGTGACAGTACACACAGATGCTTCTCACTAGCCCTCTGTGTATGTATGTAGCTACATTTGCAAAGGCAGAGGTCCTGCTCTATTCTGGGATTAAAGGTGTGCACCACCACTGCTCGGCTGGCCTTGACTATTTGATGTGGGGCCTGGGGATTTGAACTCAGGTCCTCCTGCTTGTGTAGCAAGCACTCTTACCCTCTGAACCACCTCTCCAGCTCTCCAGCCTGGCAGCCTGCTTAAAGAAGGCATGTGGATTCAAAATAACTCACCTGGTGCTTTGTATGGGATGGTGGCGGTCACAAAACAGGCATGTGACCAACTGGTGTGGAGAATTTTGACTCTAGGACTCAAGTGAGATTTCCAGGCCAAGGACATCCCAAATTCAGCCCCTGCAGTTTGCTTTAGGAACAAGACAGTGTGTGCTTGACCCTGCCACCCTCCAGCTATTTATATCTCTTTCCTGCTGCGCCTGCATTGAATGTATCCGCTAAAATAAATCTCAACTGTGAAAATACTTTCATGTGAGCCATGTGGAGCCAGCTGGAGCAGAACAAAGCTAGGGAGAATGGGGGGGGGCAAATGCTCACACGAAGACATTCATGTGTGTTCACGCATGCACACAGACACACACATACAGATACACATACAGATACACGTATAGATGCACATGCAGATACACACAGAGACAGACACACACACACAGATACACACATACAGAGATATACACAGACACACACACAGAAACACATGCACAGACACACACACACAGATATACACAGTCACACACACACACACAGATACACATGCAGATACACACACACACAGATACACACACACACACACAGAGATACACACAGTCACACACACACACACAGATACACACACACAGATACATACACACACACACAGACACACACATAGACATGCACAATTGCTTGATGTACTCAAAACTATTGTCCTGGGGAGCAGGAGAGATGGTTCAGCCAAGAAGAATGCTTGTTGCTCTTGCAGAGGACCAAGGTTCAGTTCCCAGCACCTGCATGGCAATTGACAACCATCCATAACTACAACTGGAGGGGTCCCATGCCCTTTTCTGGCCTCCCACAGGCACCAGGTGTGCATGCAGTGCTTAGACATACATGCAGGCAAAACACTCATGCCATCAAAATAAAAGTAATCTCTCTCAAAAACAAAACAAAAACAAAAATCCCACCAAACCTATTGTCCCTATTGACCTATTGACTCCTCAAATGGTACAGACCCATGGAATGATTCTGAAGGCTCCTGCTGGCTTCAGGGAACTTTGTCAGATGGCATAGAAAGGTCCATTTTTGTTTTCTGTGAGAAGCTTAAAGAAATGGGCAGCTGATACATAATTTGCTCACAGTCCTGCTGAAGCCTGAAAAGGGAGGCACAATAGCTAATTCTATGCTTGGCTTCTGTCACAGGGCTATTTCTAGAAGGAACAGAATGACAGGACAGTCTGGGCATTGTGGCACAGTGTACCAAGGTCCGTCAAGTCTCCAGTCCTGAGACAAAGCCCTGTCACATGACCTAATGTCCCTGCTGTATGATGGATTAAAATCAAAATCTCATTTGAAACCAAGTTTCTCGTCAAGGGTCATTATTGACAATATGATTTAAAAAACAAAAAAGCAAAATGGTTCCAGGAATACAGTGTGGAGAAAGGAATCATTGCTTAAAATGACTGTCAAACTCTTGTCTACATTGGGGCATCTTGTGCAGTTCTGGACATGGCGAAAACATTTTTTCCCAATTATAGTATGTTTGATCCTTTTTTATTTTGTGTATCTTGTTCCTATGGACAACGGGCCACAGACAACAGCTGGCTAAGAATTTTTGTCAACCTCAGAGTGACTCTCATCAGCTCCAACTTAGCTGCCTGTTTTTTCATTGTATGAATTTTTAAACAGTAAAAGGGGGACCAACTGAATCAGATATCAAAGCAAATTATACAGTGAGATAATTAGGTACTGGAGAAGGTTCAAGCAGATTCAAGGTTAATAGCCAACTTGAACAGGAATTTAACAATAAAGAATTTCAAAATAGTTGGGAAGAGAGGTAATCATTAGACATTGTTGAAACAATTGGATAATCATGGGAGAGTAGGGAAGAGTTGGCACATATTATACTTGGATCCAAGCCAGGGCCTTATATATATGAGGCAGGTGATCTACCACTGAGCCACACCCCAGCCCCTCACTGGGGAATTCTAGGCACCT